TTGTTTGCTTTAGAAAGAGAGTAACATAAAACAGGAATAAAACATGCTGTGACATATGCCATTCCCCCAGATTCATTTTGGACCATTCCATCACTTCAGAAAGCCAGCCGAATTCATAATGTTACTTTGTTTTCTAAACATAATCACTGATGTTTTGTTCCAGCAGAAGACCAGCAATTTTCTTAGAGGCATATAGCAATTTGTATTAACAAATACTTCTATTCTGCTCCAATTAAGGAAATTCAACTGACTACATTAACTGAAAAACTGCCATTTTTATATTTGCTGTTATTCCTTTGGATTAAGTTATATGCTTTTCTAGGTTTGTCTGGTTTCTAAGGACAACATAGTTGTTATTAAAGAGAGCTACACTCCTCCTTTTGTTTTGCAGAATGTTTTCTTATTTTCCTCTGCCAGGTTGTAAAATCACGAGGGATAATTTTGAATCAATATTGCATGACTCAGTTACTTAGATTTGGAATTTACATAGTGACTAAATCATAAAACAATTTGAAGAGTATAGTGTGAGCTCTCATATTTCTATTTACAGTTCCAGCCAAAACTAAAAAAAATCCCCACAAAAAGGATCACTCAACTGTGAGCCCAACTGTACGAATTGGTAATAAAACATATATTTTTTACATTTTCAGCACATTTTTTTTTTTCAAATTAGCATGTCTTTATTGGAATCAAACAATATACAAGTGTGATGCTAACAATGCTATTTGTTCCATACAGATCTTAAATCATCTCGTCTTTTCCCTCCTTTTAGGATCTGACAATTTTGATCACCCCAAGATACCACTGGGTAAAGATAACATTTGCTTGCTGAATTATTCCATGCATGCTGAGTAACAAGCAATGTTATTAATTTTTTCTGTCTGTGATCTACACTATATTGCCAAAAGTATTGGGACACCCTCCAAATCATTGGACTCCGTGTTCCGTGAAATTTCCTTGCTACTAAATACTCCACGGTCAACTGCTAGTGGTATTATAACAAAGTGGAAGCAACTGGGAACAACCGCAACTCAGCCACGATGTGGTAGGCCACATAAAATGACAGAGCGGGGTCAGCGCATGCTGACGCGCACAGTGCACAGAAGTCGCCAACTGTCTGCAGAGTCAATAGCTACAGACCTCCAAACTTCATGTAGCCTTCAGATTGGCACAACAACAGTGCACAGAGAGCTTCATAGAATGGGGTTCCATGGCCGAGCAGCTGCATCGAAGCCTTACATCACCAAGTGCAATGCAAACCATCGGATGCAGTGGTGTAAAGCACGCCACCACTGGACTTTAGAGAGGTGGAGACGTTCTCTCTGGAGTGACAAATCACGCTTCTCTGTCTGGCAATCCGATGGACGTGTCTGGGTTTGGCAGTTGCCAGGAGAACGGTACTTGCCTGACTGCATTATACCAAGTGTAAAGTTTGGTGGGGGGGGTTTATGGTGTGGGGTTGTTTTTCAGGGGTTGGGATTGGCCCCTTAGTTCCAGTGAAGGGAACTCTTAAGGCATCAGCATACCAAGACATTTTGGACAATTTCATGCTCCCACCTTTGTGGAAACAGTTTGGGGATGGCCCTTTCCTGTTCCAACATGACTGCGCACCAGTGCACAAAGCAAGGTTCATAAAGACATGGATGAGCGAGTTTGGGGTGGAGGAACTTGACTGGCCTGTACAGGGTCCTAACCTCAACCCGATAGAATACCTTTGGGATAAATTAGAGCGGAGACTGCGAGCCCGGCTTTCTCGTCCAACATCAGTACCTGACCTCACAAATGAGCTTCTGGAAGAATGGTCAAACATTCCCATAGACACACTCCTAAACCTTGTGGACAGCCTTCCCAGAAGAGTTGAAGCTGTTATAGCTGGAAAGGGTGGGCCAACTCAATATTGAACCCTGTGCCAATAAGTTCATGTGCGTGTAAAGGCAGGTGTCCCAATACTTTTGGCAATATAGTGTATGTTGTTTCACTAGAGCACATTTGTCAGTGCCAATTGGAAGTGGTTTAGGAGGCACAAAACAAGTGACTTCTTATAGTTGACAAAAGGGATAATCTCTAAAACCACTTGTTTTTTTGTTTTTTTTTAAACATTAAGTCTTTATTAAAGTTTAAAATGTTACAGAAAGGATAAAAACAAAAAAACAATTAGTATGGTACATCTGAGTAACAGGGACATGTACCTGTTGTACAGCTTATAGAAAAATAGGAGCAAGGAAGAAGAGAGAAGCGGAGTAAGGGGAGGTTACAAAGGGAGGAGTGAAGTTTGTAGAAGAGAGAAGGACCAAGGAGAGTAATACAAGTTCTAGTCACTTATCAAGTTAAATATACCGAGCATCGAGGGTCATCGAGCCAGCATTTCCAGTTTTTGGCGAAGATCTCCCCCTTACATCCTACTTTTGCAAAAATACACTCAAATTGGGCATGGGTGTTGAGTATGTCAATTGTTTCTGATAGGGTAGGTGTAGTGATCTGTTTCCATTTCCTGGCAAGCGCCATTCTAGCAGCTATTAGTGTATGAGCTACAAAGGTGCGCTGTGAAAGGGGTCAGGCGTCCAAGCCAACACCTAGGAGAGCTAGTTGGGGAGAAGGCATGAACTGAGGGATGCTAGTAATTGAGAAAATTAATCTGAAAACGATTTTCCAATACTGACGTATGGAGTCACATGCCCACCAAATATGAAGGAGTGATCCAATTTTTTCAAATTCACGCCAGCATAGAGGGGAAAACCACTTGTTTTTATTTACCTAAGTATGCTCTCATCTTGTTGGCTGTTGGAAGACATTCTGCTACACCTGGACCATATTAATATATGCATTCTTGCCAAATACATGTACTTATTTTGGACAGAGTTTATGCACGTCCTAAGTATCAAACACATTTTCCTGGTGTTCCTATAACCAGAGCATATTATACAAGCTCCAGCCAACCAAATTATATCACAATGCCATTCATCCAGAGTCAGATGTTTTTTGTATTAATAATCCTGTATTAGGTTGCAGAGTAGTATGCGTTTTTGGCCATGACTTAAAAGCATCAAGGTATTAACACAACTTCTGGCCAGAAACATGTGGGTGAGACTTCCTGTTAATTAAAAATGAGTTTATGGACATGCAAAATCAATTAAAACAAGAAAAAAGTCTTGTTTGATCTTGCATAACTTATTGTACCAAAAGAACCAGTGGGTGAGACACTGCAAACAAAAAGCAGCCAAAGTGCAGGTCTCATTTTGTAATCTGCTCTCATTTTGTCACATATGGTATCCATTTGGTTGTTTTGGGGCCACACAGACATTACAATGGTTAGAGTCTGCTTTACCAAGTGTTGCCATTTCCATCAACAACTGTATGCAAGGTCCTCTGTCAGCAACGCTGGTCATACAGTGCTTGCTTACATGCAATCTCAATGCACCCTTGCATTTGCACTCGCGTGGGTAATCACCTCTAAATTTCGGCAATACAGGTGATTTTGCCCTCACTCCACCTCCAGCTCAAGGAACCTCTTTGTTAATGTATGCTTACCTGAATTGGATGGCTTAAACACTCAGTTATTCTTCCACAAAGTAGATTGGTTCACTTATTGGTCCTAGCTTTCTATATGTATTTAATAAGTCTGTGCCATCAGTTCATAAATGATCAAGACCTTTTTATGCCCATGCATTAAACAGTTGGAATATGTTTGAAACTGGGCTGATGCATGCACATTGACTATTGTGTTAGACTTGGAAAATTATAGCTCTGCTGCAGCAAGACTGCAATTGCAAAATTGACATTTGTCATTCAACCTAACTATATGTTAGATGAACGTGGTGTAGAGGACAATAGCTGAACACCATGTTGATCCAGCTCTCAAACATAAACATCTTCAAACTCTTTCTGGTCAGAAAGGTCAGCGGCAGTCCAAAAAAGTGCTTATTGTCAGAAGAGAATGCTGTGTATCTTCTGCTTATGGACACTCTTAAAGCTCCTTATTATTGTACATAATCTAAAAAGTGTTAAGTAAACATACAGAGCCTGATTTATGTCAAATAAAATAAAATGAAGGGAAACTTACCCTGAACTGTTATAATGTGAAGCTATGAGAAGTAAACCTTCTTCAAGTGTAGTGGATTTTGAAAAAAATAGAGCTTCATCCTTGAATGATTGGAAGCTTGGAGTGAATGCAAGATAACTTCACCACACTTTACACTTTACCAAATCAGGCCCAGGTTTACTTGACCTAATTTTACCTGCAATTACCTGCAATTACACTACTGTATAGTAAATCTGGCCTTTAATGAGAGATTTAGACATACTGTGATTTTTTTTCCAGATCACGCCTTGTTAGAACTTGTTTCTATGCACTTCTGCTAAGCATGGACATAAATAGAGATTTTTGTAATTAAATCTCTCCTCATGCTTGTGTGATGGGGTGGGTGAGGAAATTCATGCTATTTGTGCAATATTTTTTAAAGTTGATTATTTTCACCTATGCTTGTGTGACACTGAGATCTGTCTCCATTCAAGTCTCTACTACAGTGAACCAGCACTGCAGAGGTGTTGTGTTTTTCTTCTTAGAATAGTATAACGTGTCAAAACACCTATGTGGCCTTGCTGTTACTAATTCACATTTAAATGGCTCTAAGTGCACATATCCAAAGGGGTTTTCCAATATTTTTTTTCCACAAAAAAAGAGTGTTGCCTTTCTGTGTCATGTTTAATAGACATCCGAGCACCTGCTATCTAGTAATTTGAGTCACCCAGTCAAATGTCAAAAGGTATTGCAACTGTTTTCAGCACTGAACTTTTTGACCTGTTTCTGGTTCACTTCAACTTGAAAAATGTGCATTATAAAATGTTAGCATACAATTACCTATTTCCAGTAATATGAGATACTTCTGAGAACAAGTCTTTCCCGCAGGTCTTACGTGTACATGTTTATTAGCAGCAACTCAACATGGTAACTGGGCTTTTGCAATCGAGTGTAATATTTAAGAAAACATTTTATTTTTCAGTGCCAGGTAAAACTGGAAAAGATGTTTCTTCTAAAACTGACAAAACACCAACAACAACTGCTGGTAAATTTTATAAGGACTTTATTTGGCAAAACAACAAACATTTCTTTCATACTTTACTGTTTCCCCTATTACTCATGGTTTCTGTTATATTCTGTGTAGTGCCAACACCAGCACAAACCGCAAAAATGCCAATAAACCTGATTAGACTTCATATATTTGCGGATCCAGCACTTCCAAGTGGTAAAGTGGCCTTCTTTTAAATTGGCACGAATCGCTTGTTTTTCAGCAATCATGAGCCAGCAGTGCAGACAGCTATGCATGAATGCTTTGAAATTATTTAGCTGATTGACCTTGTAGCTACAGTATTTACTATTCTTTTTTCTTTGCATATACAACTATGGAATGGAAGCTGTTGCAGATGAAGAACACTTTTTTTAACATTAACATATACTATCCAGTTCAACCATAAGATTGGGCAGTTCGTCACCTGCTTTGTTAGTCATCCTTGCGTATTCAAAATGGCGATGCAAAGAGTAATGAATGCATGCAAGGTTACCCATAACAGCCAATCAGACTTCATTTTATTATTGTAAATTCAATTAAGCATTGAAAACGCATTCCTGGCTGAACAGTGTTGAAGAAAAAAATATTAATGAGGATTTCCTGACATAAAATATGCTCTGTAGTAATGTAGGAACGCTTTTTCATCTGCCAAGCAATACTCTTTCAAAACGACATGGTCTCATAAACACAAAGCAGCTTTTTAATATTCCTTACTTTATCCTTTACCTTCTCCTATTTCCTGTGTATCATCTGACAACTTATTTTAAATTAAAAACTTACATATTAAGTAATTTTGGAAATATATAGTTTGCATGTGCCTCATGAATAGAATTAGCAAAGGGAGAATCTGCCATTCTATTAGTCCTAAGGAGTTTCCTTTTAGGTGTAAATGCAGGTCAAGCTATTACCAAATTGGCTGTGCATCTACATCCATATACAGTATATGGAGTCTCAACTACCCCCTTTTGCTTTTCACACATGATACAAATAAAATGTCATTACACCTCAAACCATTGTAGCAACCTTCTCTTTGGCCTATCAGTAAATGGGTACAATCATGCTGGCGCCATTACAATTAATTCTGTACTGTTTTGCTCAACTGAACCATATCTCACTGTCACAGTTCAGCAGTCCTTGAATCAATCAAACTCAGCCATTTAAGATAAGCATACTGTAAAATCCTCCCTTTTATTCTCTTCAGTAACAGATTTAACACTATTTGCAAATCTTCCAATGTCAGTACAGTTTGAGTTTTTTTGCCCCCACTGGCACAGTTCAACAGTCATTCAATCCATCTAACTCAGCCCTTTAAGATAAGCTTACTGTAAAATCCTCCCTTTATTCTCTTCAGTAACGGATTTAACACTACCTGCAAATCTGATATCGGACAAGCTAAAGATGGATTACTCAGACATTTGTCACCATTTCCTATTTTATTCCTATTTTACTTAATTTTTTATACCTGAATATGTTCTGCTGTAGTTTGTATGCACTCTTCTTAGGTTATTTGTATAGCACCACGGGAGGTGGGCGTGGAAGGGCACCATGAAAATAATTTTTATTAAATACTATAGCTGATTGGTTTTTATGGTTTACTGTTTGTAGCACGTTGCCATTACTCTTTGCACCTATATACTTTGCTTAATAAGTCCAATGCTGTATAATTTGCTGCACGAAATAGTATCCTACTGATTATACATTGCTATGCAATATTGAAACCTTCACTTCTGCTACAAAACTGCGCCCCAGAGAATAAAAGTATTTCCTTATTTTATATCAAAATGCATGTTTCTTCCAGCCTTCTTTCCATTCTGCATTCTTTGCTTTTTTTTCTCTACTGAATAATCGCATAATGGATATTTTCTGGTTCTTGTTTTTTCTCTTTCATGGAATCCTTTATAACATCTGTTTTTCTATTTATTTTTCAGTGCAAAGTGAAACACAAACCACTGTACCTCCAACCCCTAAAATAACTCAGTCAAATAAAATACCACAGTCAAAACCCGGTAACTGAGATATTAGTTTTTCTAGTAGAGGATTTAAAAGGGCAACTATCTTTGCTTTAATTGGGGAAAAAATGTATACGTCATCATAGCAAGGTTTTTACTATGCACGGTCTACGGTTAGTATTGGAAATTATTATATTATAGAGGGCACTTTAAAGGGGAAATCTGTTGAGATGTCAATGTGCCTATTTTTTTCCATGTATGCTGTTTCTTTTCAGTATCTATGACCAGCTATTAGCATGAAGATGGTAGCATTTTCAGATGAACATTAGTTTGGGTTTTAGGCTAGGATGAGGGGAGTATTTAAGATTTGTTCAATACTGATCATGGACATTCCAGTAAGAAAAGAAAAAAAACTGTGGTCTTAGCAAATGACCTAGCTTATTAGCCTAAATTGTTTCAGGTGATATGAAAAGGGGGAAGTGGCCTTGAGATAAAACCAATTTTAGTATTTTTTTAATGCTCACAGGTAGGCATATTAAGAGTTTAAAAAAGAGACTGATAGCCATATAGCATAAGAATCTGCAATATTGACAGATGTAATAAATACAGGCCCAATGTTCTCAGTATTATCCAAGCATTATTAGTTACTTCGATATTTGTCTATGTGAGTGTACACACATGTTTTCATATTTGTTTGGGTTTTTAAAAAGGACATTCTATTATATTATTTGAACATCAGCATGCTTTTTCTTGTAAGGGTTTTAGGTAAATTTTATATTTTGTAAGTTTAAACTGATGTTGTATGGTTATTTTCTAATATTTACAGTGTATACATATAGATTATTATTACATATATACTACTTCTGTTTAAAGAGTGAATGTAGCTCTTTGAGTATATGAGTACATGTTTCTCTGTCTCTGATTAAAATGTTTGAAGAAGAGCCTTGCTAAGGGAGGGGAAGGGAGGATGCATCAATCCTCTGACTCATTCACTTATATGTCCAAACTTCACCCTAAGCTACTGAGCTATGTAAGCACAGGTTTCTTTTAGCAAACCAGGTAAGGATATAGTTAAACCTAACAGGTAGACTACTGTTTCACCTACTGACTAAATATGATATTTTAAAACAACACAATATTTTAGAATTAACCCAACTGAAAAAAGGTAAAAAATACATTTCAGTTAAGGCTATGAAAACGGTATGCTAACAAAAATATATATGCTGACAATACAGCATTGTGAAATAAGCACAACCATGTGTAGTTGACCATATGCAACTATATTCCGCTACATACCAAGTTTTTATTGATCTTGCATTGTCCATAAATTATTTTGCACAGCGCAAGTAGCTTTGTGACTGTTCAGTTTTAGGTCTCATCTATGTAGCCAAGTGAAAAAGAAGAGGAGGTGCCACAAGATTATACTTGGTGTTCAAAATATTAGAGCTTTTTCTCTGCTGTAACCAATTTTCATATTTGAAAGTAAATCTGTGGCCAGGCTATGGACATTCAAGTATTTACATATGCTTAACAAGCAGCAAATGAGCTTTAAAACAAGGCATTGCTGATCCTTCTAACTGCCACTACAGTGGAGTAATTAACTCGCAGCAGAAGCATTGAAGTCCTTCTCTCAATAGCTCACCTTTCACCACTCCCAGCAGTGAGTTGCCAACCCTTTAGCCTTCTAATCTCTAATTTAAACATATAGCAGATGCTCTGAAATGGGAACAGAGAGCCAGCAACTGTAGTACTTATTTTGTAAAGTGAAAATTAATTGATCTTGCTTGTTTTAAAGCCCATTTATTTGTTTGTTGAGAATATGTAAACTTTGATAGCCTGGCCACAGGTTAACTTTAAAGTATATGTCTTTTAGATATTAATTCTAGTTTTATAAGTGCATTATTTTAAAATCAGCTCTTATGCATTTTATTGGTCTTCCAGCACAGTCTGAAATACCTGGACACAGTTTATTAACTTGCTCATATCTCAATTTTCCTTAAGTATTGCTTTTGTAAATGTATCCAAAGCTTACAAAACTTTTGAAAGCAGTGGGATTCAGAGCTTTGTGTATTAATATTTGATGATCAGCTATGCTTTTAGGTTTACATTTTTACTGTCCTTGTAGCCACAGACATAGAAAAATCTTAGGCTTTTTTTTAATGAACAGACAATGGTGTTGAAATGTATGAAAAAAGAACACAGATGTATTAATAACATTCATCAAGTCTTCCAGTTAAGCAGGGAAAATAATTGCTTCTTCACAATACTGCTAACATATTTTAAAAATCTTTGTGCAATAGTGTAAAACAGGCAAGCCATTTGAAAGATGTAACAACAGTGAAGGCATGGCTCTGCTTATATGCTTCAGTAAGTAAGCCCATGGGGTAGCTAAATCAGAGCAGATTTCAACAAAATTCCAGGGGGTCAGGAAACCATACAGCAGCAACATCTGAAAGTTATTTGTGAGTTTCTAGTAGATACTAGTTGACTTTTACTTAAAAAAAAAGAACTACCCATACATGCTTTCTTTATAATTACTGAATAATTCTTCAGTGACATAACCTATTTCTCTTTTAACCGTCATTCATTCTGTTGTCCATCACAGCTCCCAAACCCACAAAGAAAGTACCTATACATCTTGTTAGCATCCAGATCTTTGATGAACCAGACGTACCCATGGGTAACACGATCTTTTCTTCATTTTTACGATTTCTCATTTGAACACCTTTTTTATAATTATTACCATCTACATATATCGAGCGGTTAAACAGAATATTTGAACATATTCAGTAAAGAAGAGCCCCAGATCAAACTTTTGACCTCCTCAACCATGAAAAAATGTCTCCCTCCTGCCTTTAATGATGCCTGTACATTTTACTTACCCCACATAATGGATTATTTCAATGCAGTCAATTTATCATACCAGTAAACAATACCAGCACTTTTAGGGCTCCTCCATACTCTAACCAAAACCGGGATGTGAATTAATCTGTACACTGTAGTACCTGTGTGTAGAACTTTTGGGGATGTTCTAATCCCCACATGCCTTATTCTTCCATTATATTAATTTACTAATAATGAGATATGAGGGTTTTCTTTGTGTTTCATACGATTATCAATGCTTCAAACTAGGGATGTTCCGATACTGTTTTTTTGGTATCGAGTACGAGCACCATATTTTTTCTGGTACTCACCGATACCGATACCGGAAGTCCCATTAAAGAAGCCAGGCGGCGTGTAATGACTAGCCACCTGGCTTCCTGACTATCCAGGAAGCCCAGTCAGCGTGTAAAGACTCGCCGCCTGGCTTCCTGATTGGCCAGCTTCTTGACTAGTCAGGAAGCCAGGCGGCGAGTCATTGCACGGCGCCTAGCTTCTTGATTGGCCGGGAAGCCAACTCCATGCTCCCTCGTCACCAAGTGACGAGGGAGTGTGGAGCGGGCTTCCCAGCCAATCAGGAAGTCAGGCAGCATGTAATGACTTGCTGCCTGGCTTCCTTATACCATCGGGTATCGGGCTAGGCATTGGAGCATTTGGGTGAGTACAAGTACTCACCCAAATACTCGGTATTGGTGCGTCCCTACTTTAAACACTGTTAAGCTACTGATTAGTCCATGAGGGTGAGTTTATGAGGATTAGTGCATGAAAACTGGACCAAATCTGGAACTGTTTCCCACAGCAAATAGCCAGAGCTCTTATTTCAAGTAAATTGCAAAACCTGATCAGTTACTGTATGCATCAACTCCTGTTTTTTATGTTTCATATGTCCTGCATACTTATGGTAGGGCATGGGTCTATAGAGTTCATTGGTGCACCTATTTATTGGATTCTTTAGCAAAAGTGGAGTAAAAAATGTGTATACCTTGATGGGGCTCCTTCTCTGTAAATTACATGAAGCACTTTGGCAGATCTACAAAGATGCTGAGGGTCCTCTGTACTCAGTTCAGTTAACCACAACACTGTTTTATGTGTCATAGGCAGTACAAAAACACCTCAGTAATCCTCTCTATGTATTAATATTATAACTAACAGTACTAAAAATGGTTCTTTCTTTCAGTTCCTAACAACACATTGACTCCTTCTCAGTCCACAACAACACAAAGACCTGAAACGCCCCATACCACTGGTAAATCATTAAGTTAGTTAGAGTGGCATTTCTGTTGCTGAATGGCATGCATATATTAACCCAACATAGCATGATGCTTGCTACCTCACTGTTTTGGGTATAATGTGATACAGGCAGCCTGTCGGAAAACTATGGGAGTTATTCACTAATAAGCGGAAGGATTAGGCCGAAGCTTCGGCTAATCCTTCAGCTCGCTTCGATTGCAGGAGCCCTTCAGTTCACAATAGCCCGTAAAGCAGCCGGATTGCTCAGCCAAGCTGAACACATATGCTCCAACTTGGCTGTGCCGAACAAACAGCCAAAGCGGGGAGAACGGTCTGCTGAAGCAGAACATTCTGCCTGCAAAATGTAAACAAGCAGTAAAAAAAAAACAGCGGGGTGTCCCCCTCCTGATTAATACCAGGCCCTTTAGTTAGAAATAAGAAAAAAAAAGTGTGTGGGGTTCCCCCAACAGTCATACCAGGCCCTTTACGTCTGGTAGGAATTTTAAGAGGGAACCTCCACCACCAAAAAATGGGGGGAAAAACGTGGTGTTTCCCTTAAAATTCCCAACCAGACCCTTAATCCAGGCACTGGCCTGGCAGGGCAGGAAAGGGAATTGAACCGGTGGTTGTGGGGTTATGCAGGCAGGGGGGCTTAATTGTATCGGGTACCCCCTTTCATAAAGGGGGCACCCAGATGCTGCACCCCCCTTGTGAATCAGTAAGAGGTACTTGTACCTCTACTCATTCACTAAAGGGTTAACAAAAAAAAGAGCCCAGACTAAAATACTTTAATTGAAAAATAACACAACAAAAGTCTTTGACAATTCCTTTAATTAAAAAAAACACCAAAATTTCCAAAAAAACGAAGTAATCCAGGGTTAATCACATCATCCAGCAATGTCCACAATGACACTGACTCATCGAAATGAAAAAATTCCCGACGCACGCCAACCCGACCGCACACAATTAACTCCTGCCGCAAAATGAACAACTTGACAGGTGCCGGCCAAAGGTAAACAGTTAAGTGGAGCTAGCGGTGATATCAATGCTGGCCCCTCCTATTTGTTGACATTCGGCCGGCACCTGTCAAATCGCTATTGCAAGGTCGGAGCCGAATGATGGCCGGAGTCCGCTGTGAGGTCACGGCTGGCTTTTCCCATTTGTTGTCATGCAATGACAGGCCACTGTCCTCAAATGACCTGGGAACAGTGGCCTGTCATCGTATGTCAACAAATGGCACCTGTCAAATTGTTCATTTTGCTGCGGTAGTTCGTTGAGTGTGGTTTTTTCAACGAGGCGGGGGTGGCGTGGACATCGCTGAACGACGTGTTGGACCCTTGGTTAATTTGTTGGATAATTTTTTTTGGGGGGGGGGTTCCATTAAAGGAATTGTCAAATACTTTTGTTGTGTTTTTTTTTCAAATAAAGACATTTATGGGCTGTTAATTTACATTTTTGTTAGCCCATTAGTGAACGAGTAGGGGTACAAGTTTCCCTTACTCATTCACAAGGGGGGGCAGCATCTGGGGGGAACCTCACACACTTTAAAAAAAAGGTTTTTAACTGGGGGTCCCTTTCTAACATGCCAACCAGACCTAAAGGATCTTTTGTGGTTTGGGAGGGGGACCCCATGCTGCTTTTTTTTTCTTTTGTTTACAGTTTTTTATTCTGCTTGCTACCACTGAGGTAGTGAGCAGAATAACGGAGCCGAATGCTTCCGGGCAGCATTCGGCTATTTACTCACTGCAGTTCAGTCCCTATGAGAATAGCTGAACGGCATTTAGCTCACTTCACTTTGGACCGGTTATTCCTGTCGCTGCCTTCAGCAGCTTAGTGAATAACCCCTTATATTTAAAGTTATATGACTAAAGTGAAAAACACGTTCTATTTGTGATCTGTCTTTTTCGCAAATGCTGATCATGCTATTCTGATGTAAAATTCTCCAGCAAAGCTAATAGGGAACAGAATCAGTATAAGCTTAAAGCAAACTTTTTCATGTGGCGTGCCTCATCACTTACCATCTAACTTCTTTCAATGTATGACTACTTCTTGCTCTACATATTAAAATGTAAGAAACATGCATGGCTGTATTTTCTGTTCACGTGTCTACAGCTTTAAAGTTGCAGCAGTTTACAAGTCGCATTCAAGCAACAGTTCATGAAAACTCTTGGATGCAGACATTTGGACTAGCCACATCTAAGGAGAAAGTATCGGAGTAGACTTCTAGTTTATACACAACTACACTGTGCAAATATGCCTTTGAGCTTATTGCTTAATATGCCTGTACAGCTTTACAGCTGCACTAACAATAATTTTGTAAAAGTAAATCTGTTCAGTTGATATATGGCCCATTGTTATGAACTTACACATACAGGGTTATTCACAAAAAGGTGAAGAGTTTGGAGAAGGCAAGAGAAGTGAACAATCTAGGACAAAATAGCTGAACTGGAAAGTGAGCTGAATTGGATAATTTTTCAAAATCAGCTATGTTGTTCTAGATTGTTCACTTCTCATGCCTTCCCCAAACTCTTCACCCTTTTGTGAATAACCCTGATAGTGAATAATCGTATCAAATATAGGCTGAAATGCACTGCACCATTAACGTTTCATGCTTTTACAGTTTACATTTCATCCATATAATAACAAAAATCATCGCACTACTTCATGGAGCACATTCTTTATCATACTTTATTCATTATGTCTTGATATATACAGTGTGATAAACATTATTAACAGTAATAAAAAAAAATGGTTGTACCTGGGTTTTCTTTTTCTCCAGTTCCAGTGCAAAAAGTTTCAAAACCAATAACCCCAAAACCCAAACCAACTCGGACTCGTACAAAACCTGGTAATAAATGTATACATTATTAGAAACGTAAAAATGTTCTGAAACATGCATACCATTTCATATACCAGTCCATCTTTAATTATGGTGTGTATCAACTTTCACACATGCTCTTAAATCTGGCAATATTTCACTTATGTTTGTAGGAAGGCTTTTTGTCTGTACTGTACATATCAGATTCCTGTTACAATTGATCGCACCAAGCATCTCTTTGCTTCTTCCAAAATAACAATTGTGCTAGAATTGTGATTTTTGAACAGTGGTAACATTACTGTAATGTACACAAGTGTGTTAAAATAATAAGGCAGCGAAAAGAGTAATAACTATATATAAACTATATATAAAGCTAGCCACTGACATTGGAGGATTGGTTATATTAATTTCTGTTCATTTCCTTTTGCCCTGATGTGATTAACAGATGCGCATATTTATATAGCAGTGAATGTGACTTTCACAAAACATTCACGGGTGGTAAATCAATTACTGTCATTAAAACACATGCACCTAGAAGATTAACTTGCAGTGAATGTTTTTCCCTGATATACAGTATATATACTCTACTTCCCATAGTGTACATTAACAATGTTTATCCAAAAGCCACATGATAATAAGGACAACATGTTTTTTATTCTTTTTGTGCATATGTGTATTATTTTAATATAATTTAGCCTATAAACTACATTGGGTTCATGCATACTTTGATAAAGAAGTTCCTAATTCCAAACTAATGACTGTTTGTAATCACAATGAGGTAATTTGGGCATCCTGCAAGTCTAATAATAATAATAATTTATAAATTATTAGAAATGAAAAACTGTTTCATGAAACACTATACAAATCTAAAAACTTCTGTTTATTTTAATTTTAAAAGCTACAGACACATGGAACTGATATTTTAGCAATGGGTAGATATCCTAATTTTAGAGGGCACCCCATCCCTTTTAATTTTTATAACAGCATCCATACAATGCTGAAGTATTAAATATTGTATCTAAATATAATGAATGAAATACATTTCAAAGAATACCACAGAGTGTTTGGATTTTATTGATCTGTTACTTGCCAAAGTATTCATTTTCTTTTAAGTTTAATATTGATTTAGGAAATATATATATATATGTATATATATATATATACAGTATAATGTCCATTTCTAAATCAGAACACCGTACACTATAAAGTGAACGTATAAAAGGGTCACGACAGATGCACATGTCATGCATTTCCTTGAATAACAACAAGTGCTTACAGTGTAAACTGGAGTAGGACACATCCATTATTGTTGTGTCTTTATATATGATCTCACCTCATTTAACAATATCCTAGGTAAACCTGAAATCCCAGCTTAACAAATATTGTCTGAATACAAATGCATGTGTATCCATAAACAAATCTTGGTGTCCTTTGTGTGTTTCGTCCATATCTGTGCAGTAATTTAGCATGAAACAACTGCACTTTGCCTCTGTGCAGGAGCTTCCTGTAATAAAGACCGGTCCCTACTGCTCTCTCTTCTAGTACAGGGTGACTGATCTTGTATCCGCCCCTTCCCTGTAGTTTTCTGGAGGTATCTTGCAGTGGGTGGAACCCTCTGTGTCCCTCCCAACAGCTCTCCTCTCTGCACAAGCTATGTGTAGAATAGTGATGAAGTCACCCCTACTTTAACAAGGTAAAATAATTTTTGTGCCCAGAGTTCAGCTCTGATTACAGCACAAAACACAGTGGTAAAAATAAGAATCTTAATGTACTTACGCCAAGAACATAATTCATGGCTTTCTTTAAATTGCACCATATAGTCCACTTTCTTTGTTTTCTTTCATTCTTTCTTTCATTCATTCATTGCTTCACAGGAAAATATAAATACATCTCCTAATTGGCTTAATGTGTTGGCAATTCAATATCAAGACTCCTTACTTCTAAATTGTGCAAGTCTTTTTGTTGCCCTTTTACAGGTGGATGTGATGTGTCTGAGTGTGTTTCAGTTGTTTTAGGACTATTGATTGTTTTTAAACAGCTCCTACTGCAGCACCCAAGGAAACTACTACTTTGCCTAAAATTCTACATGTGACTGCTGCAGCAACATTGGGTAAAAGATTATTACTATGCTCGGTGTATGAGGAATGGCATATTTTGATTTGTAATGCAGATCTAGTCGCCTTCATTTTTCTCTTTTTATGACATGATGTTTGGTCATAATGGGAACCTGCAAGTCTTTTCTTGCTTATACATTATTTTGAAATGTTGTGCTTTGTTCATCATCTCTTTTTTTCCACCATCCTCTTGCTTTATGAATGCATACTGCTGAGATCGTAGCATGCCATCATCATCAACCATCTTCAACCATCCTGGAAAAAAGTTTTCATCATTTTCTTTTTTTATGGTTAAAATAAATGTTTACATTTCAGAGGCAGCATTTCTTTATCAATGCCATCTTGCTTCAATGAACTGCATGGTTTTAAGGACTCGGGTGATCACAAACCTTTGGGTTATATTTCATTTGATGTTATTTTACATTTTCTTTCTGATTTCAGCTACCTATAGAGTGCAGCATAGCTCTTCCAGACCAAGGACATCACTCAGACCAAGAACTCGACCCGGTAATTGCTACTGTTTAGCAGTTCCCTTGTATAGTTACAAGTGTTTGTTTTGTCTGCTTTCTGCTTTGATTGTCATTTGCAGGGCCAGTATTTGGAAACAACAACCGAATCCATTGGCCAAATCTGCTCCCCCTCCCCCCCAAACACCAGATTTGTATGTAATGTCCTTTAAAGAGTCCATATAAAAAAACTATTTATGAGACTAATTACAACACCTTTCACCGCAGATCTCTAATGATTCTGTGTGTAATGCTGTGGCAAAAAAATAACTGCATTGAGTTTACTTCTGGTTTATATTCCCCCAGATAGTCCAGCAGACAATGCTTTCATCTCATTATCTAGATCAGTATTCCCCAACCTTTTTTCGATCACTGCACCATTTAAAAGTATGCAAATCTCAAGAAACACCCCAGTCTAAAATGTAATGTATGTTAGAGGGGGAACCCCAATTCCCCAATTCACATCAAAGTCTCCCTACAAATCGGGATCCCCCTTCACAGCAGAGTACTCCCCTTCATATCAGAGTCGTCCTGTACATCAGCAGCCCCCATCATATCAGAAGCCCCCCTTCACATCAGGAGCCCTCTTCACATCAGGGTCCCTTTCATATCAGAGTCTTAAGTCCCCCCTTCACATCAGGGTCCCTTTCATATCAGAGTCTTAAGTCCCCCCTTCACATCAGGGTCCCTTTCATATCAGAGTCTTAAGTCCCCCTTCACATCAGGGTCCTACCAACACAAACTTTTGAGGCACCTCTGAGAAAGCCAGAAGGCACCTCAAGGAGCCACGGCCCCCAGGTTGAGAAAGGCTGATCTAGATGTTGTATGTATTGCAACCTGCCCGATAGTCAAAAGCAGGGGAAACAAAGAACATAGCTGTTAGAAAGATGGACTACTGTTTCCTGCTACTACTACTACTTTTCCTTTATACCATGAATATAACAAAGGCTGCCAACAGATTCCAACTTCACATCCACAGCACAAAAGAAGGAAAGGGGCTTACCTACTGCTCATAAAGAATAGGGGATAGGGGAAACTTCCATGGCTGTTGTTACCAAAGTGTCACTGTATTCTAGAAAATGTTAAGTTAGTCGATGTGTTCCTGGAAATACTACTTTGTTAACAAATTGGATTAGGTCAGTGTTAATCAACTTGAACATTAGAGTGAGTTAAGTGTGGCCCTTGACACTTTGAGAGGGCTGTACAATAGCAGTATGTTTTCATGAGTTAAGGTGCATCATGTTAGGCAGCTCATTAAAAACTAAAATGCTGCGATGCAAGATTTTGGGCCCCATAAAGGGTGTCACGGCAGTAATAATAATCCCAAACATTGGTGTCAGTGGCCACAATCAACACCCCCAGTGTTGGTGTCAGTGTATGCAACAGTAACTCTCATCAGTGGTATCAGTGGACACATTATAACCCCCTGCATTGGTGTCAGTGGATGCAATAAAAACCTCCTGCATTGGTGTCAGTGGCTGCAATAATAACTTGCAGCATTGGTGTCTGTGGCTAGAATAACAATCCCCAGCATTGTTGTCAGACACTGCAACAATTAACTTTACATTGGTGTCAGTGGCTGTATAATAACCCCCAGCATTAGTGGTAGTGCACGCACTATTATCCCCCCACATTGGTGGTCAGAAGCAGTGATATTTAACCCCCATTGTGGGTTAATTACCTGATCACACACTCCAATGCACTCTCTTTTTCTCTCAAATGTAGCCAGTACTGTTCAATAAAGCTGTTTTATACAAAAGAGAAAAAAAGAACAAGCAGAAGGGCAGCTTTTTCTGTTTGAGGTCGAGACTTTATGTTTAATGTTGGGCTGAAAGCACTCCTCCTGACAGTACAGTTTATTTCAATGCAAAGAGCATTTCAGCACCCAGTACCACGCTGCATCTCTGCTACCCTCTGTTGCACAGCAAGTCACAGACCCATCCTAGCACACAGCAGGCCACACACAGAGGGCTGGCAGTTCATGTGTTAGGGGAGCAAGGGATTAGGTGAGCCAACTAAACAACAAAGTTTTTGTGAAAGTTATTTTCAAATGGCCCTTGCCCTTGTACTGTTGTAGATGGAAGTATGATGTATTTGTATTACCATAGCTATTCCATGCAATATCATTAATTTAAGATTCAAAAGTAGGCTGTAGATTTATTTGGGTGCTGGGATAATAGCAGAAAATCCTCAGCATTCACATAACATGGAATCACTTTGGTAATACGCGTTACAGGTTGCATGGCATCTATATAGCATGGCAACTTTTGAGTAACATAGTCCCATTATGGAGGTGTTTGGGAAGAAAGCTGTAGGTATATGAAGATATGTCCTCATGCCTGCATTTCATTTATACAACAAGCAGAGGCAGAACAGTTTAATGACAGGTCTGCTTTAAAAGCTGACTGCCTTTTCTTTTGTTAGATAAATGTTCAGGCATATTGTTGTGCTACAAGAACCATTTTAGACCAGCTAAGTTTATAAACAAATGGACCAATCTTAAATTTCCTGATAGAAATTTGAGTTTGTGGTTACATAAAAATGTTAAATTGCCCATTGTGTAGTTTTTTAAAAGATGGGCTGCTGCCCAAGTAATCTTGTGGAAAAACAGTCTCACCCCACCACCAAGACTGACATTTTGCGGTTGTGGTTTGGCGCAGTGTTTCTTTTTATCCTCAAGTGTATGTTATTATGTCTGAAACATTTCAATGTTGTCGTCTGTCCAGAGGATGTTAAGGTTTATGAGGATTATTGAAAACCTCTTAACAGAACCTGGTCTGTCTATCTATTTGAGGAACCAGAGAGATTACCTTATATAATGTAATTTATTCTTTCTTTCTACATTAATATTTCTTATGCATCACCCAAAGATAACCAATCAAGTATTTTCTCTTTTTAGTTAAAGAAAGTAGTGTTAAATACTACTGAATTAATGTGTGAAATATTTTTATTATAGGATACTCCTGCAATGTTTTTTTACAAATGTTCCCATCATCCAGACTTTCTATTCTTTTTCGAATAATAATATTTATTACTGATTTATTTTTCCCACAAGCTCCTTCTGTCAAATTAGAGTGGTTTAGATCAATTATACACTCAGCAATGCTCAATATTTTATAAACACTTATCCGTACACTTGGGTACAAAGCTTGCAAAAGTCATGGCAATGTAATAAATTGGTGATAGTGTATCTATTGAAATCCATATATTTCCATTTGTTTTTAGTGCAATAGCAAGCCATTCATCATCAGCCTGTACATCTTGTGTATATTTTTACTTTTAATGATTTTTTTATTTGAAGACAACCCCCACCAAACTGTACTATGCAGATAATTCATGCTCTGTCTGACCTATATATCTTGGGAACTACAGAAATGAGATATCCCCACATGAATTCCAATTTCTTTCTAACTGCTATAACTATTACAGTGGCAAAAGATGGTGCCCACTCCTCCTGACTGATTTGCCCAGATTAATTATTATTATATCAAATTAAAAGGTAACATTACTTTTCCACGGTTGCCCCACTCATCAGCTGAATAAAAATAAAATGTGATCTCAGGCTACTCCCTTTCACACTATCCCAGCCTGCACATAGTATGCCAGCATCTACACCCTCCTTGGAGCTAGCAACTTTGGCACTGGCCTATCCTTAACCCTGCACCTACACAGCAGCACATAGTTACTGTAGCTTGCTATGAAGATGCTGTAAACACTGCTTGCCCATGTGCAAGCTGGGATAGTGTGAAATCTGCATGTAAGGTCTGTGTTTATATTTAATATAAATTATTTTGTCATTTGATGAGGGGAGCGAGGAGGGTCAAGGGGGGCTTTTACATAAGTTATTCTTCAATTATGTTTGGGAACTGAAATCCTGTCAGTCAATACACTTGGGTAATTGTAATAAGAAAGAAGCAGGTCGGGGACAGAGTATTTTTAAGTCAGGTAAAACAGATCTTGTTGAGAGGTCTGTATCACAGGGTTCCAAATTATTGTGAAATTTGGCAAAGCAAAGCTGATAGACATAATTAGTTATGCATACATTACTCAGGTGACATAAGTAATTTCATAATCATATCCTTGTATTAGGCACAGTGAACCAAAACAGAAAATGTAGTTCCAACACTTTTAATTGTTTCAGAGTTCTCACTGACTAACCTTGAGACATTTCTGGACAGGATATGTAAGCTCATTTGTTCAGATTTACGCTGCAGGATACCTTGACTTGAAAAACAACTATTAAGCGCCTGATTTTAATTAGGGTATCTGTTTAATGGCTGTCATTGACGTACTGTATTCCTAAGCACATTGGCTGATGCTGAAAATATTTTTTATGCTTTGAAGCTTGCTTTTTCGTTTTTCTCAGTCCTGAACATTTTTCAGTAATTTCCAACTGGGTGAGTCTGTTTACTGGTATGGTGTATAAGGTCTTTACATATTGAAATTACTGCCTAGGCTGCTTTTTCATCACTATGCTGTAAAGTAGTAAAAGAAAAAAGCTGTGGTACAAAATCCTTAATGAAACAGCCCCACAGTTGCCCTAGAGCCCAAACTGTTCAGGCAAAAGAGTAGACTGCAACCCATTTATTTATACACTGGCCATATTCATTTCTGTAACTATAAAAGGATCTGAGGTTAGTCATCCAGGTACAATTTATTTAAATGTGATAAAAAAAATGCCTTGCTAACAGAACAAAACGTTTCAGGGCCAATAGCTGATCAGTTCCATTTTGAATTGTTCTTTCCAACTTATTATTTATGTTCTCAGATGTCTATGTAGGCTTCAGTATGTGGGACGAACTATCCAAAATATCACCAAAGACTAAATAAACTTAGATCCATAGAACATGGGTGTAGGGACCTAGCGTGCCAAGAGACTTTCCCCGCTGCTAAATCTCTGCGCAGATCCTCCTACTGTTACTCACTACACTTTCCAATGCAATCCATTTCTTTTTTACAATGTAATTACTCCCCATAGTTACTGCCCACTTATTCCACCCTTCCCACCCATTGACTTGCACTCCACCCTTCCCAGTCCCATTTCACATCTGCCACATTAAACTATGCCTGCTTCTTTTCTCTAACACATTTTTATCCATCGTTTTTTCCCCCTCCATCTACCCAAAATCGAATCAAAACAGCCTCAGCATACTGGGAGGAATTAATAAAAATGTCTTGGATTCATACATATATACATTCTTTCTTTTTATATTGTTGTAGTCCTGATGAAGGGGGTGTTCTTGGCCCCTGAAATGTGTTGGCTCTGTTTAAAGTCCTCTATTTAATCACATTGGAATCAATTCATATTTGGTTTGGTGCAAACCAAATCCATGGAAATTCTTTGGTGTGTACAACCTGCCGTCCTAGGACCAAGATACCCTGTTCAATAAAAAAAAAAAAATACAGCAACACTATTGGATAAGTAATACCAACAGAAAAGCCCCAGGGTACCAGTGCTGCTTATCTATTAGCTTGATTTTTCTTTTTCTGATAATTTTCGGTATTTAAGCAGCTTTCATTAAAGAAACAAACAAACACAGTGCTGGTGCCACTGAGCTATCTCCCAGGCTAAGACGAGCACTATAATTATGCTAAATACTGTTATAGCAAGTATCAAGAGATTTGCAAAAAGAATGCTGAAAATATCAGTGAAGCTTACTCTATAAAGTAGCACCAATGGCCAAGCCGGAATACACTGTACTGTTACCCAATCAGATTTCAATTAACAGGAAAAAAAAAAAAAAACTTTCTGCAGGTTACAGCACTTTGTACTTTGTTCTTTGCCTTATTGAATAAGCCTGGATATAGCAAAACTCAAACTGTTCTGCTCTGCAGAGCACTCTTGAATATTTCTCCGTGCATGGCTGATAGGTGTAGAAAAACATTTTATTGTAATAGTTTGGTTGCCTGCAGAGCAATTAGCTTTTTCTTCTAAATGTCTGCTCTTTAGATTTTTGTAAGGAAAACCATTTAAACCGCATTATTCAGGGATGAATACATTACATATCATGATTACAAAACTAAACAAAGACATGTAATTATAGCATATTTCCTTGAGCTAGACATATTAGCTCCAAACTTAAACAAATCTTTTCTTTCACATTTAACCTCTCAGCACAGAATGGAACAACTCAAGGATCAATGAGACCAAGACCAACTGGAGACTTCAACTGGGTACCGGGCACAATCCCAGGTAATGCCTGATGAGGTTTGTCAATAACTGAAGTAAATAGGCCTAAATGATGAAATAACAAGCAGTTCGTTCTGGATATTTTGTTGTAATGCTATAACAGCAATCAAGTGATCTGAAATTTCTACTGTATGCATAGGCTGGGAACCTACAATATTATTCTGTAGTGAATTACTGGAGGAATCATTTTCATGATGGCCCAGCATAACTATGTACATTTCATGCACATATTCCTTTAGTAAATTGACATCTACATGCAAAATATGTCAGCTGCAAGTATTAAATTAGATGCACATTTTACAAATTCAAGGTATATTGAATTTTAGCAATGAACTCTACAATATGCCAGGGAAGAAGGCTACAATTTGTTTAGATCTTGTTAGGATTTAAATATAGGAGCTGCCATCAGAGCCAGATTGAGACTAAACAAAGTCATAGGCAAGCTAACAGCCCTGGTTCCCCCTCCAAACCCAACTCTAAGCACACTATTCACATAATGAAAGCAAGAGAAACATATATAGGCTTAAAGATTTACTAAGGAATAAGGATCTCCAAAATATTAGTTTTTGAAAGCAGACTTCCTATAGAATAAAGCAGTGGTAGTCTCAGTTTTGTATGTTGCACAATATTTGCATTGTTTATTAAATCTGTATTTTTAGTAAAAACGCACAAATTTTTAACCACAAAGGCACAACATGACATTCAAATTTGATGTTACTAAATACTAGAAATGTCTAGCCTCTGTTGGACCCCCACCCCACCTCTGCTGTTCGTCTACTTCCTGCTAGGCTGCTGCTTTCTAGAATTTGCTGAAATCCTAAACGCTCAGAGCTTAGCACTTTCAAGTTTAGATTAAATAGGAGAGTTTTTTGAATGGTAGTTCACTGATCTCCTCCTCTCTCTATCCTTAAATGGCCTGCTGCACCTCAGGTCTGACAGAGGAGCTAGTAAGCACTTTACAGCCACCTGCATAATTTCTACTAAAGTTTGCAAACTGATCTCTGGCTGATAACGCCAAAACACCAACTGGGCCCTAGACTCACCTAGATTACCTTGTCACCCTAACCTGGCTGCTACTGCCTATTGACTATGAAAGTGCATGCTTTGAGGCTGTCATATGTATAGTAATAATGAGTTACTCCTAGTAGGGGTTTGTTTGCACATCCCTACCAGGAGGTGTGGTTTAACAGAAGGGATGGTGTAGGTGAGTTTATCTCGACTACCATGTGAAAACAGTGTGTATGTTTTTGGAGCCGTTTCCATATGCATTTGCTGTGTTCATTTGTAATAAACACACCAACAAAATCTGTTGGACCAGCATGGTGAGTGTCAGATTGTGATTCTCATATGTAGGAGCTATTCTTTGCATCAAGTTCTAAACACTTTGAGAAAAGAGGATAAACATAGTGAACCATTAGTGAATTTACATACTAAAAATAATCACTAGGCTTAATGTAGGATGTAGCTTTGTAAATCTATTACTAGGCTTAGTAGTAAATGAACATTACGTTTCTACCTACCATCACTTTCTCCATTACAAAAGATGATCACAGTGATCTTATCACTGATAGACAGGCCCGGCGCTACCGCAAGGCAAGTCAAGCGGCCGCTTGGGGGCGCTGAAGGGGTGAGGGTGGGAAAATCGTAGTGGTCAGTAAGTGGCCACCGCTGCGGTATGGGGCTCCGAGTTTTGACCCCATGTGAGCTGGACCCCGCCCTGGTGTCAACGGGGCCTTAACAAAGTGTGTGTCCAGTGGTGGATCCGGGGGGAAGGCCACAGAGCAATTGCCCCCCACAAGAAAATGTATAGCTTTCTGGTGAAGGAGAGGAAGATCCAGGATGTACTTGTGTGTGATTATGTTAATTCATTATTGTTTAGACACAAAAAATGATATGTGTATTAAAAAAACATGATTAAATTAGATTTTGTAGACCTAATTCTAGTAGGATCTAGCCAATAAAGGACCTTTGAATATAATTAATTTAGTGTGCATGGTGTTATTTATATAAAATATATATACAAATAAATATATATATATATATAAATATACATACATATATTTATATAAGGCCCACACTTGTTAAAATCTTGTGTGTGTCCATAGACACACACAGCTCTGCGGCAGGCCATGACCTTCCTCTCCGCCCAACAGTTTGATTGATGGCAAAAGGAGCTCTGCCATCAGTATCCTCACCTGCAACCAGGAAGTTCAGGGAACCAAGGATCGGGTGGCAGCGATTAATAATAACACAGACATGTCAGAGCAAAATGACTTATGTTTGCCAAATCAATGCACACTGGGATTGCCTTGTCATCTGCAGAGCATTACTGGGAAATCTCATCTGCAATCTCATGAGATTTCAGGGAAAGGCATTTTCTTCCCCTGAGATGATGTGCATGGTCACATGTCTAGTTACATGTGCCAGAAATCCAGGAAGTAATAGGAGATCTAGTAATCTCCCCTTAGTAAACATGGCCACAGTCAGAAGACTGGGGAGGAAAAGAGAAATAAGTTATGCAAAGAATACAAAGCCTGCAATTAACTAGAAGTATGTGTTTGTAGATTGTCATTACTAAACATTTCTAAAGGTACATTTGTTGTTATTTTACAGATATGGGTAAAGGTCCACTTTAATGCAGAGAATGCATTAAGGTAAAAAAAACCCAGAGCCCTTAGTATTACTTTAAAGCTGAATGCCAGACAGAAATGAATGCAGTTGCAGGGAGGTAAAAGCAACACAAGGAGCCAATTAGTTGTGCTGCAGCTCTAAAATCATGCTGATAGAAGGAGAGTGAAGAGTACCAGAAAGATGAGCTCAGTAGTCTGATGCTTCTTCTTAACTGTCCAGTCACAGGGTGGGGATGGAAAGGAGATTTGTAGGTACTACTGAACTGCGGCAGAAAAAAAATCAAGTCTTCTGCTCTGCCGGCAGAGCTGTTTTGTTGGGTAGAGCTGTGTAAATCTCAATACTGGGAGGACAGACATACTTTGCTAGATAAAACAGCTCACGTATATGAATTTCTTCTGTATATTTAGTTGCTAGCCTTCATTTTAAATGAAGTTGGGCAGTCGAGAGGTCTTTTAAAAACATTCCTCTCCACCTGCAGGATAAAGAACTATTCACAAAGTTAAGTGTGTCGTGAACATTTCTAACTTTTTAATTGTCACCTCTAGTGTCAAAACAGAAGTTGACAATGTGCAGTACAACAATTTTCAGGGTAGCAAGGTGGTTTTTATAACTGTGACAGGGAGGCTGCCTTATAAAGATATTTGTACAGGGCAACATTTCACTTTAGGTCAGCCCTGAATTCATATCTACCTGGCTCAGCCCATACTTTCTTTCCTCCTAATTACCAATGTAGTCATGTGACTCAATTAGAAAGCTACTTCTAAGAAATCCAGCTGTAGACAGACAGCACTTTGGTACTTTTTAGTGGTGTTTTTCCAATTAAAAATTATATTTTGGTATGATATATGTTTATAAATAATAATAATGAATTAATATAAATAAATGTATGGTATGGTATATAGTATTCACTGAATATACTTGGGTAGATCTTAGTAAGGAGAATGCTTAGTGGCAGTGCTTATACAGTATATATTCAAATTTGAAGCCTATATTTCTATATGAAATGTGGCTGAAATGTGTACAATTTAAGCTTTAATTTATTTTGGTTGTTAAAAGTGAATGGTGCCAGAGCCAAGTTGATAAGGATGTTTTGTTTTTCGGTAGCAAAGCTGTTATGCTTTGACAGAGGAGGTAAAGGTGTTGAGAAAAACTGATATGGGGGCCTAAGTGGTGTTGCTCTAGAGCCCCATTTCCTTAAAGGAGAACTGAGGGGAGTGATTTTCACTCAGCCTCATAATCTGAGCCGGCCTGTGACAATGAAACTGTCACAGGTCGGCTCAGTAGATGGGGAAGTGAGCAAACACATACCGTCACTCGCTCACTTCTCGATCTATCCCTGCAGAGAGCCGTGACTGTCACTCACGGCTCCCTGCAGGGATTCCCCCCTCCACTGTCCGATCCTTCAGCGCTGACTGGCGAAACGGATGTGGGAGGGAGTGGGCACAGCTGGCTCTGCCTCTGGATTGGCAGAGCCAGCTGTCAATCCCGCAGCAGGCTGGATCCAACATTATTGTCGGGATCCGTCCCGGCTGTGGCGTCTCAGTATTACACTTACAATATTACACTTTTTTTCACTACTCACTCAGAGCTCCACCCCTCCTCCTTAATGTCCCACCCACATCCCTGTCCACCTCTCTACTTTACAAGCCTCCCCTACAGCCTGGAGCTCAGCTGCATGTTTCAAGAGGTGGAAGGCATTGTAGGAGATGACCTGCAAACACAAACAAAAACAGAAGTCGCTGCTACTTAGAAGAGGCAGGGATATGCAGTGTTTTTAAAAGTAAGAAAATATTTTGGAGCAAAATAAAAAATTATGTTTATTTGTCTCACAATGTTTGTCCTGAATAGCTAATGTACTGCTGGTGCATTTAGATCTCTTTAAAGGTTTTAGTGGTCACCCTTAAGGTCAGGTAAAGGGTTAGGATGAACTCAACATGTGTGTCAAAAACTCTTTTTCTAGTTTCGGATACTGTGGGGAGGGATTGGAGGTGACCAATTCCTCCTGCAGATACACACTAGAGGCCCAGCACAGCATACAGGCAGCTGAAGACCTTCAGTGTGCTCCAGCAATCAATAGAATGTTTAATGTAAGTTGCTATGGCTGTGCTGAATTCCTTTGTTCACTGGCTGGTAAGTGTGCGGGAAGTATGCCCTTTTCTTTAAAAGGCTTGTTATTGATTGCTGGGACAGCCTGGAGGCCTTCAGTTGCCTGTGTGCTGTGCTGGGCTTCTAGTGTCTATCTGCGTTTTTAAGGAGGTATTGGTAAACACCTCTGCTTGTATTATGCAGTGTTTAAGTAGTGCTGGTGATTTCTGCTTTAGATTTATATGGTACCACCATTGGATACAGACCCTACTACACTGATTGTGAGC